CGAGGTCGGCGACATCCGGGGGCGTCGTCCGTCGCGGCGCGGCGGCCGCGAGTGCGTGTCGAAGGTGTTGCTGAGCATGGGGTTGAAGAAGACGCGGCTGAGGCCACGCGGCGGCTGCTGGTGCTGGGACTGGGAGGAGGGCGAGGGGTTGGCGGGGGAGGTTTGGGCGGCGTAGTCTCTGGGTTGTATGAGTGGCCGTCATTTTGGCGACTCTCGCTTTTTTTTCTTCTTGTTCTTCAAGGTTGTGAGCTTGTTGAATTTATTGCGGCTCTTTCCAAGTTTCGCCTCGTGGAGATGTCGAGTGGTCGATCGTCAACGAGGAGGAAGGCCTTTGTAGTGCTCCGGCAGAGAGCGTGACTGACTTCCATCCGGGCATCTCTCCCCCTCTTATACACATGGCTGTCAGGGGACCCGGAGCTCTGAGTGGGCCCCGTGGGGGGTCGATCCATTGCGCCGTGCCCGTGGCTCGACCGAGCACGAGAATAGCGCGAGGAAACGCATGACGGCAAACGACCATCGAACGGGGATCATGAGATCTCTGCGTCACGACTTGTATCATCCCAAAGATAGAAAGTTTGCCAGCGTAAAGCTTGTGCGGTCAGGGGTCGCATGTGAAACCCGGGGTACGGACGTGCGCTGTCCGCCCAACCCAACCCACGCACGGCAGGGCGTCTGGGTCCTTGCGACGTAGGGCCCAAGAAGAAGACGAGACGAAACGAGCCGAAAGGCTATACTTGCCTTGGTCGTATTGGGGCAAAAACCAAAAAAGAAGGTCTGTCTATTGTTTCGCCGAACCTTGCCAGACAGAACGCTCACAAAGGGCGGATGCTTTTACTGGTATGCTGGCATGGTTGACTCAGGAGCAAGCTTTTATAGAGAAGGACTGGCGAAACACGGATACACAGACGTATGAAAAGGCAAAGATACAGAATCAAAGGGAAGATGCCGATCCTGGACATGTGCATTGTGCGCACCTGGTAAATGCCGCCGAGTGGTACTCGGTAGAAACCTTCGAGACTTCATACCGTACAATCGTCTCTCTTCCATCAAGCCTCCCCTCACCCCGAGGTCACAAATGTCCATTAACCTGGTTCTTTAGGTTGGAACCTTGATGGACTAATTCAAGTGACTTGTACTTGTATGGCAAGATAAAAGTTTCTGGATCCCTGCTCTTGCATAGCTACCCAGCAATCAGTGACCGGCTCAGTAGACAAGGCTGGTGGTAATTAACTTTTTCGTTGACCCTTTTCCGTTGGGGCAAGAATCGGATATCAATTGTTATCATCACATTGTCTCGACGGAAAACCGGCTTCCCTCTTGCCGTCGACCAAGTCTTAGGTTCGCCTGATTATTTCACCGAGTCGTACATACCAAACAACAGGAACAGGGACGTCAGCAACAACTTGCAACGTCAGGGTGACTTCGTTCACTTGACCTTCTCTCCGCTTCAGTTTCAGTACTCGTCTGAATTCAAAGCGTACTACTTCACGTGCCTGGAGGTTCTCAAATGCTAAGAGGAAGTTTCCGATGATGTGTCTCATGACGAAGCCCCCTTGGATGGAGGGTCAAGTCTTTCGAAGGCCTTGTAAAGCCATCTGGCTGTCACGCCACCTGACAGCCTGGAATAGGTAAACTTTTTAAAAGTACTTCTTTGCCGACTTTCTCCATCCTGGCCTTGGGTGAGGTGAACGGAGAACCCCGGCTGCTACGTGTTGAGTTTCGCGACTGTCCTTTCGTACAATGGATTTGGATGACTTCTAACTTCGCTCAAGGCTTAAAGAAACAGAGCTTCATGACCAACGACCTGGAGATGTGCTAATCAAGATGCCACCTCGAGTGCATTTCAATGAGTGAAATACAAACTATTCCTGCAGGTCACTCGCCATGAGAACAAGTTCCAACGAGACAGTTCGAGAGATAGGAGCACTCAAGAAACTGCACTCGCTGATCTAGACCCGAGAGTTTCTCTTCTGTCGCT